CCTGTGCTTTCGTCAATCTAGTGAAACTCCGTTAGACTTTCACCAATATTTGACTTGAAGTCAACTCCGACCACCAATACCGGTACATGAATCGATTCATGTACCAGTATTGGTGGTCGGTGACATGAATCGATTCATGTACCAGTATGGGTGGTCGGAGTTGACTTCAAGTCAAATATTGGCGAAAGTCTAACGGAGTTTCACTAGATTGACGAAAGCACAGGAGAAGGCAGGTGGGGATGAACGGGAGCCTTTCGGATTCTCACCAAGTACCAGAAACCCTGTACTCGAATGGGCAAGAATGCAGCTGCCTTTGGTCAGTAATGGCGAAATTCCACCGGAGTTATGCAAAGTCAAGTGATCATATTGGCAAGGGTCCACATGACTTTCGCCAATTGGCGAAAGTGAAGGCGTTGTATTGGCGAAAGTCATATTGGCAAAGATACGGCTAGGCAGAAAATCTCGCAAGATATCTTGTGTGAAAACGGTGTTGTTACTTCTTAGTTTTAATCTGCTGCTCTGTCTCCAGAAATATGTGGCCTTGTTTACCTAACAGAAAATGGCTGAGAGAAGAGAACTAAAAGAAACTCTAATCAAACCAGATAAATAACCTGTATATATGAATGTATTGAAATATTAAAAAGAAAGGATAGATGCAACAATACACAAGCACACACGATAATGAACGATGCACACAGCATATAAAAACACAGGTATAACAATAATACATACTAGTTAGATATAATGGAACTGACTGATCTGGTTGACAGATACGTGGATTTGTATAGGGTAAGATGATTGCTCAATACTGCGTATATAAATAGATCGGTTTTCTTTGGTAAAAGAGACTCTTTCCTTTGTAAATTCAGGAATCGTTGCTCTGCTCGACTAAACTAATAGGAAAAGTTCAATTATGTTTCGACACAAGAAAGCCAAGAAATACAGACGGAGGTAACTTTTCTTGGCTCACCCTGTATAATACCAAAAGTGATATTTATTCTGCGCTTCATAGAGTTTCATTATTTCATTGAGATTCATATTGCGCTTTCTAGCGAACGGGTCACTTTTTAGTTTGCTTTCTTAACTATAATTATGATCATGTAATTGATGTTCACGAGGTAGAGTAGAGGGACCTGCAAATGACCAAATAATAACTTCAACAGAACATACTGGTGTTAAATCTGTGTGGCGTGTAATTAATTTTAAGTTTGGTGATAGATGATCTTGAGAAACTAAAAATAATTTTACATGATGACGATAATCCTTTGTTTCAAAATTCTGGTAATGTTGATAGAACAAGTTTTAAACCTCGATCTTGTAAATCATTTAATACGTTAGTATCCGATCCATTTATTAGTGTCGGTCGATGTAGTATACCAAATTTTAAAAACATTGTTATTAAACCTTTAGACATGCTTTTGGAAGCTTCGAAAGAACTAAATGGTGAGATTGTGTGCCGTATGTAATCTACATTATCTAAAATAAGAAACCGAATCAAAACCACTTACGATGAAACAAATAAAACAACCCAATTATTTTTTGAATCAATCTTGACACAGAGCAGTGACAAACTTACGGTTTTCATCATTCTAAAGGGCGGACGATGGAGCATGTCTTCGTAATAGAAAAAAGCTTGAATAATTTTCTTCATGAAAATGACTTCTGCAGACGATTTTTGGAAAAGTATATCTTAACGCAAAAAGAATACCCGTGCCCCTACTTTTTATCAGTTAGTCAAGAGCGCTCTCTATAAAACGCGAGTCGGCCAAGCGCTTGCTTTTTGATGGTTTGGCTGTGACTTCGGATATTCTAAGGGAAGACATCGAAAATAAGTCTGCGTGTAGATATAGGTGAATATCATCCTCGTTCCTGTTTCTTTAGCTGATTTTGCCGAATGAAAGAAACTGGGTACATTTTTTTTGATATTTAAATTTATTGTTCCATTTAATAAGGTTAACAAAAAAAAGACTGTTACATATAAAAATGATATCAAAATACAGTACAGTAAGTAGAAAACGAAAAGTTGAAAAAATATATGGATCATCTTTTACAAGGGATATGACTTCTTTACACTATACAGCACATTGCATTCATCCAACCTCATTCATAAACTCGAGAGACAAAGATTCAAAAGACATCAGATGAATTGAAAGAACACACATTGACAAAAATCATATCGAAAGAAAATCAAAAAAAAATAAACAAAGGGCAGCCTAAGATGGAGATAATGGAAAATATTTGAGTACATAAAATTCGAGAAGAGAAGAAGTCTTTCTAAAAAACCCGTACTAGCGTGTGTGAATATTCTTAAAA